GCACACATTGCTATGCAGACCTCGAAGCTGGCAGCCCTCCGGGACTGGCCACTTCCTGCTACCACCACTCAACTTCAACGTTTCCTAGGCTTCGCCAACTACTACCGCCGCTTCATCGCTTCGTTTTCCAAGCTCGCCAAGCCGCTGACTGATCGTGCGAAGAACAGTCTCAAGCGCGTCAAGCTGGCTTGGACCCCTCAGATGAAGTCAGCCTTTGAGGACCTCAAAAAGGCTCTTCTCGATGGCCCCGTGCTCATGATTCCAGACACTTCGGGCCAGTACCCATTTTCCCTGCAGACGGACGCCTCTGACGAGTGCATCGGCGCCGTTCTTTCTCAACAAGGCCGCATAGTGGACTGCTTCTCGCAGAAGCTCCACGACGCCGAGTTGAACTACCCTGTCCGTGACAAAGAGTTGCTGGCCATCGTGCGCGCGCTTAAGCGCTATGCCCACTTGATTGGCAACCAGACTGTCGACGTGTACACTGACCATCGCTCTCTCCAGTATCTCGAGACCACCAAGCTTCAGGGCCCAGTACCCCAGCGTAGGCGCCTTGATCGTTGGTGGATGGATACGCTTCAGCACGTTAATATGCGTGTGATTTACCTACCAGGCCAGCACAACGTGGCCGCTGACGCCCTCTCACGAATGCACGTGAAGGACGAGGACGTTACAACGTTTACTGCCGCCGAGCCAGTCCTAGGTGAGGACGAGGATGGCACGGCGATCCGTGATGGCGGCGTTGCCTTTGTGGCAGCGGCCGCGAACCAGGCCAACGAGACCACCTCAGCGCCAGGCAGCACAACCGTGCTCCAACTTTCCAGCGACCTCTACCCCCTGCTGGTGGAGGGTTACCGAACAGATCCTGACTGGCAGGCCGTGTACGCCGGCCGTGCCGACCCAGCAGCAAACCACCTAGGCGTGGGCGCCTTGGTATTCGATTCCGGCGGACCGAGCTTGATGCTGCATCGGGTCTCCTCTACTACGCTCTCCAGTCGTCGAGCAAGGCTATCAACACTTCGGCAGATCGACGTCGGCTAGTGGTGCCCCAGGGCCCTGTTCGTGACCTGTTGCTCGCCGAACACCATTCGACGCTACTGGCAGGCCATCTGGGCTACGAGCGCCAGGTGGCGACCATGCGAGATAAGTACTGGTGGCGAGGCCTGAGCACAGACCTCAAGGACTTCTGCGCGCGCTGTCCCAAGTGCCAACCGCGGAAGGACCCCACCACGGCACGCAATGGTCCACTCCAGCCTCTCGACCCCCCGAGCACGCCCTTCACACACGTGACTATGGATTTTATCACGGGGCTGCCCAAGTGTGAGGGCTGCGACGCCATCTTGGTGGTTGTGGACCGCCTGACACGCATGGTTATGACCAGAGCCACGAAGAAAGCCATCAACGCTCTCGATACAGCTCGCCTGATTTTGGAGATGATGTTGCCGATGGGCGGCATGCCTTTGAGCATCGTCTCTGACCGTGATACCCGTTTTGTTGCCAACGTCTTTCAGAAGATGTGCAAAGCATTTGGAACCAACCTTGACTTTTCGACGGCTCACCATCCACAGACAGATGGACTGACTGAGCGATACAACAGAGTGCTGATCGAGTGCCTCCGCACCGGCGCGGAGACCGACCGCGACAACTGGGTCCAGATGCTTCCCATGGCCACCTATGCCATCAACAGCACCACGCACAAGGTCACTCGCCTGACGCCACTGTTTGCGGCGACCGGGCGACATCCAGTGACACCGTCATCCCTATTAGTTCAGCCTAAGGCGGCAGCCTTTGGCGACAACGATGCAGACTCAGAACTTCGGCACCTCCAGAGCATTTGGCAGTACGTTGCAGATGTGACGGCCCTCGGCCAGGAAGAGGCAGCTGAACGTTATGACCGGAAGGTCAACATGGTGGAGTTCAAGCCCGGCGACTGGGTGGTGGTCTCCATCAAGGCGGTGCGTTCGCCCACGGATCGGGCCACACACTCCTCGAAGTTGGGCGCCCGTTGCATTGGGCCATTCAAGGTGCTCGAGCGCGTGAGCGCGAATGCATATCGACTTGAGCTGCCGAACGACGTCCGCGCCCATCCAGTTATCAACATCGAGCATCTGCGCCGCTACCAGCTTCCTGCAAACGCGGCAGAGGACTTCCGTCCTGCTCCAGTTTCTCGTGACTCGTATGGCGAGTACTATCTAGTCGAGACCTTGCTCGACAAGCGCACTGTGCGGCCCAAGGGCCGTGCGGGCCGTCCTCGTATCGAGTATCTCGTCAAGTGGATGGGTTACTCGAAGGAGGAGGCGACCTGGGAACCTAGGGCCAGCCTTCACGATTTTTACATCAAGGAGTTTGAAGCTGCCCGCCCTCGTACTTGAGTTTCACACGGTCAAGTGTACCCCATTTTGCGTGCTTGCATGAATCATGAAGCTTGCATTTTTTCTCTCATCCTTGTTTCCTTTTTTGTTCTCAGCGTGCCTTCGCCGTTTTCTCCGTTTGTCTTTGAACCATCCTCGCCGGATCGGGGCTCCGGCTGGCGAGGGGGGGTGTTAGCGTCAAATCCGTGCTTCCACGCATTTGAACACTCCCACTGCTTTCGCACACACTCAGCATCGGTCGCTATGGGTCTTCCTATTGGTATTCCATAGCTGCGACGACCTCACAAATTGACACCTACACTTGGACCCCCTGGGCCTGATCCTCCTCGTGGGAGTCACATGAGTAAACACCGCGTGTGACGCGGTCCCCACGATGCCTGGGCAGCTGCCCTGGGGCAATAAGCTTGTGACTACTGTTGTTTCCCTTTGTTGGGGTACCTGCGGTCGGGCACGAGTTGCACTTTCCCTATCCTCGGGAGTGAGCGACTCTACAGCTATTCTAACGGTGCACCTGGTCTGGTCACTGTGAATGCTTGCCGACCGCAGGTACGTCAAGCCCCCTGCCATTCTGTCTCCCCTTTGCTCTCCTGTGTGCTCTGCTCTCTTGTGTCTTTCCCTATCCTCGGGATAGAGCGACTCTACAGCTATTCTAACGGTGCACCTGGTCTGGTCACTGTGAATGCTTGCCGACCGCAGCTGGTTCAATTGACCTCAAGACACCAACAAAGCTTTCGCTCCGTCCCGACGGACGTCTCTCAAACCTCTCTCAAACCTACGCGCTTCCTTGCAACCCAACGACGGCCTCCAGACGTGCTGGAGCCTGACAGAAAGACCTCAATCCATAAAGGTTCAATTTATAAAGGAGCTGCAAGCTCGTTGATAAAAGGATGTGAGGGCTTGGAGCAACAAGTTTTGTGTCTGTCTGTATTTGTTGAGTGAAGGGCAGAAGATCGAACAAACAAGAAGATGGCTACTCCCACCATTCCACTATAGAGGAGCCCCCAGTGTACATGTACTTGTGTGACAAGCGAAGTGGGGCGGCCGAACATAAAAGAAATACATGGAAGGAAAACTACAGGATGTGTCGAATTCTCGAACGAGTCGAGGAATCATCAAGAAAAATCACTATCATTATATCATATAAGAAGTCGAGCTACTTCGTTTCTGCAGCAGGCCCAGCAACGCCTTCAGAGGCACGACGTCGGCTACGGCGGACAAGCATCACGGCAAGGACCGCAAACTGGGAAATACACACGCCCAGCGTCAAAATTTGATAGAGATCAGCCGAGTTGCCTTCGCTGTCGTTGCTATCTGCTGTAGAGGATGCAACCGGGAGGCCTGCCTCCATGTTTGCTCCGGCTGCTGCACGACGGGCCACGGCCAAACTCTGGGAAGGCTGATAGTCCAAATCCAGGGCCTCCAGGATGCCACCGTTGACGAGCGAGGGGGGAGTGTCATCGATGTACAGGGCGCTAAGGAACAAACTAGCCAGCTGCTCAGCACTCAGGCCGTCATTGGCAGCCGGGCCTACGGGATCGGCCGGGATCAAAAATTTGAGCGTGCCCACGGTCTGTGCGCCGCCCGAAACCTCGCGCAAACTCGTGAGCTCCACGCGTGTTTCCGACACCGACAAGACGGTGGCCAGCTCGCTGGCCAGCGTTGCGGAAAAGTCAACAAACGCGGTCGACTCAACATTGCCGAAAGAAGCATTCCAGGGCACGTTGAAGCGCAGGCCGTCCAGGGAGACGGGGACGGGCACAGCGTCAGCAAGCTCCGCATAGGTGAAGGTCCAAGACACGGGCTGACTCATCTTGTTGCCGGCAGCATCGTAAATGTCGCTGAGCGTCACTTGCACGCTCTTGCCACTGAGTGCGGCCGAAGAGAAGGCGTTGCTGATGGAAAGATGAATGGTGTTGCCCTGGCACAGCACGTCCAGAACCTGCTCGGTAACGGTGACTTCAGTGCCAATCTTGACCGTCGCGCGAACCGTTGAGGGCTTCTCGCAATTGAGGGGCTCGTTGAAGACCGCCTCGACGTTGTCGCCAGGCACGGCCTCGCTGCCAGCACGCGGGAACAGGCCAAAGACACGGGGCGCGGCGCGGTCCAAAACTGCCTCGATGGTTCCGGCGTCATGGCTGTCAGCACCCTCCACGGCGCTCCCAGAGGACTCGCACTGGGTAGACAGGCGCACCTCGTAGCGGCCATCAGCCAGATTCTCCACCTGCCAGTCAAGACTAGCGTAACCAAATCGCGACTCGGTCACTGGGCCAGACACAGCAGTGGTCCAACTCGTGCTGCCATAGGGGCGAAACTCAAGATTGACGCCCTCAAGACGCGCGTCATCAGCCCAGAAACTGTCTGGGGCCCCGGGGTTGCGAGCAAGGAAAGGGTAGTACGCATCGGCGTGGTTGGTGTTGATGACAACCCGGCCCGACTTGGCAACGTCGCCTGTCCACTCAATCGTCGAGCAGGGCTGCATAAAATCAATGGTGATCTCATGTTCGGAGGCTTGGAAAGAGGCAGGCGACCAGCTGCCAGTGACCAAGAACGTGTCATGCTCGCATTGGGAACGGAATCCCATCTTGAACGTCACTGAGGTTTGTCCTTCGATCGGAGTGACGTGCACGACCTCCTCATACTCTGAATATGGGGCCATCTGCTCAAAGAAACGGCCACCCAGCAACGTTTCATCATTCATCCGAACGTCCAAGCCTTCAATATCACGCACATAACTGTGAAGCATCAGCAAAGAAACAACCGCAGATGAGCTCAGGGCTTCTTCACAACGGGGCCAGGCAAGAAACAGGCTGATGGAGGGACGAGACCCACAGTTGGAACTGGTTTGCCTCATTGGCATCGTTGATGAGGCGAATGTGCAACAGAGCGCTATGGCCAGGAGCCACAGGGCCGGTTGGCTGACTCTGAATACTAAGGCGTGGCTACAGCGAGGGAAAAAACCAATTCGAGCGTGAGTTCTCTCATGTTGGTCGCAAAGGCTCAAAGCATATCGACGGCTATGAGGTTAACTGCCGACCTGCTCGCGGGCATACGTATTCTCCTCGTGAGGGCACTTGGAAGAACCGGCCACGGTTGTGAATACAAAGGTGTCATAGATGGGATCACGTGAAATCTATCCGAGGGCATTAGATCAGCAGGGCCCGGCATAATGAGCAACGATGCTACCGCCTCGGTTGCATGTCCAGAAGCACGCCCCAGTGCACGTACCTTAACCACAAACTTGTCCCCAGCATCGCCATCGCCAAGGACAAAACCGCGTACACTCTCCGAGCTCTTTTCCTTGGTCGTCACATCGGCTCGGTCCGCTGACATTTGGTAGCCAATACCAATTTCAAAGGCAGGGCCGGTGCCGGCAATTGCCATTTTATTCTCCACAAAGCCTCCAACTGTGCCTTCATCGTGCATCATGGTTCCCGTGTTGGTGCTGTTGGCAACACCGACAGACTCCTCATATGAATAAAGCTGGCCGCCGCCCATGAAAGAAATGGCGCTGTACTTTTCGAGTTCATCAGCAGCCTTGCCGTCGGGCTTTCGGTCCAGATCTCGAGCCGCATCGAAGAGTTCACCCGGCATCAAACCCGTCAGCGGCTCAAGAGCACCGGTGGAAGCGTTGTAGAGAACCTCATCCGTGTAGTTCAGGATTCCTTTCCAGCCCGTGATGGCCTCTTTCAGCTTGTCAACCTTTTCTTGGGCCTCGTCCTTTTCAGCTTGAGTGCCTGATGTCATGGCAGAGGCCAGGTCGGCTTCAGCGTGCACCAAGTTATTTTCCAAGGTGGGGATCTAGCGTTGCCCAACGATCATGAGACAACATGCACCGATCACAGGCTAATGTACAAAAGCGAGTGCTTCCTTGGAATGCAAGGTCGACCCTGGAACGTACCTCGGCATCTCGGATGTCGGCGTACATCTTGATGGTAAACGAGTTGGTATTGGTACCACTGTCGCCCAAAGACCAAGTCACCTTTTCGATGACCTCGGTGCTGCAGGCCGAGGCGTTGAATAGCACCTCTCGAGTCTCAATGTAGCGAACGGTCAAGGCAGGCGTGATGAACATGTGTCCCGAGGGCGAGCCAAGGTCATCAGATGTTTGTACAGAAATGGTCGTGGAAAAAGTGACGCTATCATCACCGTTCAGGCTGGCCTTGACATCGGCCGACATACTCGTTGCAGCAACCTGCGCAGGCCAGAGCACCGATACAACGCCAATGAGTGCAGCGCGATGCAATGTCACAGTAGCGCTCTGCTAGGCATTGTCTTTACTTACGTCTAGACCAGCGCCACCCTCAGATTTGGCTACCTTGGTACACGCCTCGACGCCAAAACCAGCGCAGAGACTGGACTCGACATCCCAAGTCCACGACACTTTCTCTACACATCACGCCAACAGATTGGATTAGACAAATGACAGGAACAACAAAAGTGAATCGAGCTGAGCTCCTTGATGCTGGCCGACTTACCAGCGACGTAGGCGCCCTTGAATGCCGCAAATTCACGATGACGAACGCGAAGCGAAGACACAGTGTTTGACTGCGCATTGAAGCAAGCAGAGGCGCACCACACGGTAAGTCAAACGTGGAATCGGATTGCAACCGTCTGCTGTTAAAACATACATAGTAAGAATAAGAGGATCCACCCGGAGGGTCGTAGAGAATCATGAGGGGGAAGTACTCTGGAAAGTCCTGATCCAACGAGGAAATTGGCAGTCTCAGTGAGACGAACAATCATGACGATGCAGGTACAAGCGTGCAGGGCAACCTAACATACCATGGTAAAGAGCTCGGAAATGAGCTTGTCGCCGGTGACAACGACGGGCACCAACTTGCTGACCGAGTGAAACGCCGTGTCCAGCTGAGCGGTCAGAAGTTTGGCATTGGCGACGCCCTCCACTTCCATCACCAGCTCGGGTTCACCGCCCATGGCCTCAAAGGCGACATGGGCTGAGTGAAAGGTCCGGCCTGCATCGTCTGAAGCGAGCTCCAGAGGCACGTAGCATCCCGTGCCAGCGCAACGGCCAAGGCGTGCAGCCTTTTCAGCATTGATAATCTTCTGACGCAACAAAGCAGTCACTGTCTCTTGGGTTTCACCAATCTGATTGACCAGTGTGATATTGCCTTCAACCCATGAGCAAGATTCGATCGTACTCCAGAAGGGCTCGATGGCAGTGACAGAGATGGTGGTGGGCGCTTCACGCTCCAGGACTGCAAAGCTGCACTCGCCGCTCCGATCTCCCGACAGTTGCACGGTGACCTGGGGTTCAGGATGGAACTCCCAACGAGCCGTGTCTGGCTCTTCAGCCTTGAGGTCGATTGTGAGCTTCTTGCCACCGTGCTCCTCAAAGAAAGCCGGCACTGTCTCACCGAGGATTTCGCTATCGTGCTCAACACCCATCAACTCGACGAAAAACTCTTGTTGAGGCAAATCCACAACGTGTTCATATGTGCTGAAGGTGATGTCCTTGCTCCAGGTGGCCAGGCATGTCGCGTAGGTGATCTGCACCGTAGTAGTACCCAGTGTACGGTTGCAGCGGCCACCGGCCATCTGCATGGTCATGGTCGCGGCGGACGTGTCGATAAAGATGGTGGGCTGCGATACCTCATCGCTTTTAATTGCGTAGTAGTCGTACGTCAGAGCCTCACCAGCCAGCGAAACGCTGTCATAGCGTCCTTCGGGCGCACGACCCGTATTCACGCGTTCAAACGTATGGTTGTTGTACTCGACGACAGGGTACACGGTTAGGCCCGCTGCCACGGGGACAACATAGTAGCCCGTGATGGAGGTGCGTGCGCACCCGAGGGCCGTGTGGGCATGGTGATTGTAGAGGCACACGCGGGCGTTGCGGAGCGGGCAGCCAAGCGCATAATTGGCGTGCTCTGTACCCTTGACGAATACGCTGCCCTCAAAAGGGACCGTGGTGGCATCCACAAACGTCGTCTCTTGATCAAACGTAAGAGCCTTGACAAGAATGCGCTGCTCCGTGCATGGGAGGCCATTGCACGTGTATCTGTGCTGCACGGTGCCGCTCGTTTTGGAGGGGCGTAGCACTAACATCTCCTGTTCAGTACCCAGCAGATCAGTCTTGACGTATACGGCAAAGCGACCATCCGCATCGGTCGTAAGGTTACCACCCAGGACGAAGACCCCGTTGCGCTCATAGAACCATTCGATGTTGGTGTCGGCAACCGCCAGGTTGCCGGCGGCATCGGTAAGCTGCACGCGACCCGTGAGCTCGGCCTCCCAAAGAACCTGATGCGAGATGCACGTTTGCGCCGATTCATATGAACCAGTCAGACCAGAGTCTTCAGCCCAGACAAATGAGGTCTTGCTGTAAGCGCTGATGCAGTATTGGTATGTGTGGCCCACTTGCAGCTCCGAGGAAGTGGCCACATCGTCATAGATGGTTTCTGGGGCATACCGGCGCTCGCAAGCCTGGCTAGCCTTGACGTCATAACCGCTGGTGAACGAAGAGCCATCGCGGTAGAGCAAGAAACCATCTTCACAGTAGCTCATGTCCGAAAATGCAAAGAAAACGCGGCCGCGATGCTGACGCGTGGTGACGTCTGCCGGCGCACCTGTCACTTCGCTGGCACCACAGGCGCAGGCGGTTTGTGCCTGCGGATACTCGAAGGAGTCGGGATAGCCGCCATTTTGGCGCCCTTCAACCTTGATGTAGTAGTAGGTACCCGGAATCAGGTAGTTGAGCGTAATGCGCGTTTGAGCATCGTAGCTGCTGCCTGTTTGATCGGCATCATACTCCTTGGGGTAACCAGCCGCCGTGTCCCAGGCGTACTCGTCATTGCGCCAGATGCCAAGGGTCACCCGAAAGCCCTCACGAGCAGGACCGCTGTTCTCGATCACAAGCTCCATGGAACGAGCAGACATGATGGGCTGGACCAAGACACCAACTCCATCAACACACGAGGTGGCGCGATCACCCACTGCGTATTTGCCCTCTGGGCAAGTCTTGCAGCTCGCTTGTCCATACTGATCCTGATAGGTGCCGGGGAAGTTGGCACTTGAGCAGTCTTTGCATGAAGTGGCTGTCGTCTCGTCGGTATACTTGCCGGGGGCGCAGGACCAGGGAGAGCTGCTGGAGGAAGAGCTGACGTAGTAGCCCTGACCAGCGTTCTTGCACGAAGATTGGGTGTACTGATCGGTGTACTTGCCAGCAGGACAGCTGCTGCAGTATGTCGATCGAGAGCCGCTGCTGTACTTGCCAGGCCAGCAATCACCACAGTTGTAGCCATCATCACCATACTTGCCGCTGGGGCAGTCGGTACATTCGCCACGCCAGTAATTCGAAACGTAATAGCCGTTTTTACAACGCACTCCGCTGTCGCAGTCTGAGTAAGAGACAGACAGAACGGTGAGCAAAGACCATACTGCGACCGAGAGGCAAAATGCGTGTCACTTCAGGGTGCATTCTCCATACCACATGAGCCGTCGCACGCGGCATCGCAGTTATCGCCCCAGATGTTGCAGTTATCATCGCAGTTGTCTGTCACCGGGTTGATATGGAGAGTATGACCGAGAGAGTTGAGTGAGAAACCGGGTGTTCAAAAAGATGGCAAACAAACCAGAATCGTTCATGGCGGAGGTGCGTACCATTGCAGTCGCAGCTACTGTAGTCGTTGCAGCTGCTTGCGTAGTAGCAGGGAGGGCGGTGATCCGTTTCACGGCGCTTGATAGAGTCACGATGAGTCTGCCTCATGGCAAAAATGACCTGATCCGGGGCGGAGCAGTCCAAGATCGTGGTCAGAAGCGCTCGTAGTTCCTTGTTGGAGCGAGCGTACATGTTGAGCTTGCGGTTGTGGTCGTCGGCAAGAAGGTTGACCAAGGAGGTGGGCTCATCACCAAGCATGAGGTAGTTGAGGCGCTCACAAACGGCGGTGGTGGGATCGGTCTCCACGGCAGGCATGGCAGCCAAGTTGAGCCAGGCCAACCCGTTGGGGGTGAGGGAGGCGGTGAGCAGAACGTCTTCATATTGCTGGCAGGTGGCGCGATCGAGGCCAAGGCCGCAGGCACGGCCAAACAGCGCAAGCCAGCTGTGGGTGAGGCGCTCAAGTGAAAGCGTGATGTGGGTTGAGCCCATGCTCTCGGTGGTGGTCGCATAGTGAATGATGCCCTTGGGAAGATAGAGCACGTCGCCTGCCTTCAAGGTGATGGCCTGGCACTCCATCTTGGCCAATTGCCAGGCCTCGTACTGGGTGCAGCCTTGAATGCTATGTCGGACAATCTCCTGAAGCTGGGCCTTTTCAGCATCGGTGCGGTTCTGTGCACCAGCAGGCTGTGGCGTGCAGATGGTCCACTGCTTCTCGCCGTACGTCTGAATGACCAGGACATCGTAGGGATCCGTGTGTGGCTAATTGGTCAATGGAGTATACGTGACAATGAGATTGCAGGGGACAGCAGCAGGAAGAACAGGCGACGTGGCGGCCCAGCAGGAGGATAAATGGCGGGAGCAACCAACCTTGAGGGCCTGGGCCCCGGTTGGGGTCACGTAACCATGCACAGCTACAGTTGTAGCGAAGAGGGTAGTCAGCTGGCGCTCAAGATCGGAGCCGTGGCTTTGGTGAAGCTCCGTTTTGATCACAAAGGAGTTGCCATCGTCGAGCAGTCCACGAAGAAAGGGCTCGTCAACGGTTTCGGCGGTGGTGAGAATGTCGCTGATTTCACCGCCGTTGGTGCGCACCATGATGTCCTCACCCCACAGATCAAAGCGCTCGATAAAGTCGTCCATTGAGGTGAGGGACTCGACCAGAGGTTCAATGGTGTTGAGTTGTGCGATGAAATCGGCGGCATTTGCTCGGTGATTGGTCCAATGGTGCACGCGCGTTTCAAAGGTGTTGAGAAAAAAATCTTTCACCTCAGCACTGCCACCGAACAAAAAGCGCAGCACGCCCTGTAGGCCGCCGTCGAGAACGGAGGTGGCCTCTTCAGTGGCAGTGGCCACCGCCACCACCACCAGGAGAAGCAACAACAACTTCATCGCGATCGATCGGTGAGATCTTAACGAAAATTGATCAATATGATTGACGTTGGATGACTCTGTTGGTATCACTCCAGTCAAAGCAGCCAATCACGTTTGGAGTGGTCCAGCATGGTCAAAAATAGAACCAAACCTCCACGCGTGAAAGTTTGGTGTTTTTTTAACAATGAAATTGTCCGCTTTGGTGTCAAAAAACCCAATATGAATAAGTCGTGGTCATATTACATGTATTGTAGTTGACACAACCTTATTTTGGGGGGTTCGGAGCGGCAAGATGGCAGGAGTGAGCGCCTCATGCGTTCCGACTGCCGCTCTGGTCTTGCTGCTGGCAAGCCTCGTCAGAGCCAGCTTTCCAGACGCAAATGGCGACGCCTTTGGCACCGTTCTTGAGCAGCGAATGGCTTGTCTCAGCTTACAGGCCAGAGACACGTATCGCAAGTTGCCGATCGCGATTCGCGCTGCAGCCCTTGACAGCCTGATTGCTTTTGATGGGTCGTGTGACGAGTTGACATGGCTGGATTTTGATAGCGCCGGCCAGGTACGGCCACCGTTTCGTTTGAACCTTGAAGAAGACAACCTTCCTCCGACCCCTGATGATCCTCATCTCCACGCCACCTGCAATGTGCATTGATAGCTCACGCAGGCTCAGGCCGGCCAAGCGCTTCCACCAACTCCTTCCGCCATTTCAAAGCGTGCTCGTCGCGCTGGTATGTCAACGCTTTTCCTTGCGTTTCAGCATGAGATATGCATGCCAGCTCGAATGCGCACCTGACCACTTCTCGCGATGCCCCCTTTCGCAGAGACATGCGTTTCTGACCTTCTGGAGCCAAATAGCTATACCTCGCCGTACGCGCTGGACAGCCTTCCCGCTTCCTTCAGCGATCTCACGCTCTGCGATGGTCCAGATGCTTACGGCATTAGCCTCTGTGCTAGTTGTAAAGTCACAGTCACCCTTTCTTATGCAGATGGTCAGGGCAGTATCAGTCTGGGCCTTTTTGATTCCAGCACCAACACCTATGCTTCCCAAACACAGGGCAACGCAGGATCTGCTCAGTTTACATACACCAACTGGGCCTCGAGTGACCGCGACTTTTCTATTGACGTATATGGCAGTTATACCGGCTCTTATGCTATCACCGTAGCCACTGAAGCAGACAGTGGCACTCGACCCACCACCACGACCGCTGCCCCATGCATTGCTGACAGCTTTGAACCCAATGGCTATACCAGTCCTTACGCATTGTCTGGCTCAAGCACTAATGCATCCGACCTGACCCTCTGCGGCGAAGCCGATGCGTACAGCTTTGTACTCTGTCCCGGATGCTATGCCTATGCCCGCGTTGAGTTTGATCGCTCCTACGGTCACATTGATATTGGGTTCTACTCGGCTGCCACCAGCGCCTATGTGGCCCAGGGTACAGGGGTGGGCGACTTTGAAGAGGTGGGTTATACAAACCCATCAGGGTCATCTGTCAATCTTCAGCTCGACGTATACGGCAGCTTTAGCCGTATGTACAGCCTGGCCTTTGAAATTTCAAGCGAAGGCCCAACCGGCTCTCCAACCACCACTTCTGCGCCTTGTCTTCCCGACATGCTTGAGCCAAGCAGCTTCAGCGACCCGTATGCCTTGACCGGGACAAATCTGTCTTTTGCCAATCTGACACTCTGTGGTGTTCAAGACTCGTACAGCATTAGTGTGGCCAACGGCCAAATTATCAGCGTGAACATTTTTTTCAACAGTTCGCTTGGAAGCGTCAGGACGGGGCTGTTCAACCCAAGTACCAATACCTATGCCGCTGAAGGCCGAACTTCAAATGGTGAGGTGTGGATGCAATATGAGAATGCTGGAGCAACCCAAACATTCAACATTGATGTGTACGGCAGCAACAAGGGGTCGTACACTATGGGCGTGCTCGTTGTAACACAAACTACTACGAGTTCAACTACTCCAGCTGCTAGTACCACCACTACCTCAGCAACCACGACCTCTGCGGCCACCACTACAACTGCCGCTGGAGGTGTATCAACCACAACCACAGCGGCCACCACTACCACTGCCGCCACGACTACTACTGCCGCAGGAGGTGTAAGCACTACCACTGCCGCCACCACTACCACTGCCGCAGGAGGTGTAAGCACGACCACTGCCGCCACCACTACCACTGCCGCCACGACTACTACTGCCGCAGGAGGTGTAAGCACTACCACTGCCGCCACCACTACCACTGCAGGAGGTGAAAGCACGACCACTGCTGCCACCACTACCACTGCTGCCACGACTACCACTGCCGCAGGAGGTGTAAGCACGACCACTGCTGCCACCACTACCACTGCCGCAGGAGGTGTAAGCACGACCACTGCCGCCACCACTACCACTGCCGCCACCACTACCACTGCCGCCACCACTACTACTGCCGCCACCACTACTACTGCCGCCACCACTACCACTGCAGGAGGTGTAAGCACGACCACTGCCGCCACCACTACTACTGCCGCCACTACCGCTGCGGCCACCACGACGACAGATACAACTGCTACCACTCTAGCTGCTTCTACAACCACTGCTGCTGCCACCACACCCACGGTCACTTTTACTTCCTCATCTCACCTAGTTACCACAATTGCCACAACCACAGCTGATATGCTTGGCAATTGCAGCTGTAGCGGTGCCCTCTTATACTCGCATAACAATAATATTGCTGCTTGTCGGAAAGCTATACTTATTCACACCATTGACTCGCTGATCAATGCAACCTTTTCAGATCGATTGATTCAGGTGAGGGTTTTCTTTGTGGACCGCCTTTTGCCTTTGCTTGATTTTTTTGACATTCTGTGCTCATAACTACCCCTCGTATCTTCTCGCAGCTCGAGCTGGCGGCATCAGCAGCTTTGAGTCCAACCCGACCAGCACCCCCACCTCCATAGGTATCGTCGTGGTGCAGTAGGCCCTTAGTCGGATGACTTCCGAACGTTGTCTATGTGTTTCTTTGCTCTTGCGCTGCCACATATTCGTTGGCTTAACCGTTTCATTTCTAATCACATCTGAACAACATCTATGGTCAATCATCTAATCAGACAGAGACTCATTTCGGTCTGATCCCAAAATTTCATAACTCAATCGCCTTCTGCTTTTGTTGATGACAAACGAGGGAGAAACTTTAGATTGCATGAAAAGAATTACAGTTGGTTGCTGACTCAACTCAATCACATGTTGCATTTGCATTTGACGGTGCGACACGAATGCGGGGATTGAAGAATTTGTGCACTGCTGTTGACCGGCTGTGGCACATCGGTCTCAACCTGGCCCTGCTCTCCGTTGCTCTCTTAGGTTGCCTCAGGCTTGGATTGATGGTGTCGGTGTCAAGGAACTTTTCGATAGTCGTCACTTGGGTCAGTGTTCCTTTTGCACACATCGGTTGGCAAATGGTGTCCTCGTGTCCTCGAGATGTGTGGTGTGATATCTCGTTCATGTCATCTCCTGCTCCATGATGGTGATGCATGTGATGCTTAGTAATTGGCGAGCATGGGGAAGAAGTCTGGCGCGGATTCTACCGCTGCCGAGACACTTGAAGGCCCAGAGCTCGTGCTAGATGCTACCCACGGCGCCAGCGCCATGGATGATCTCAAAAGTGCTTCGCGTCGCTTGTACGACGAGTTACTGCGCGCGCCTCGCCAGCGACTTGCTGCGTTCGAGGATGTTAGCGATGTTATCGCCTCACATGCAGGTGGGTATTCTCATGCTGCAACTGCTTCCAAGTCTTGGTGGTATGGCTTGCCGTACTCATTGGTATATGCTGCTCCTACCATCGTCTATGTAGAGAGTGTGCCAGCGCCGCTAGTCAAAATCTTGCTGCAACTGCTCTTCAACACGGCCAGTGTGTATCGCGATAACGCCTCCAAGGTCGAGGTTTGCACTCTCTTGGAGACCCTTTTGGAGCGGTATGTCGATTGCTCACCTGATTTTGGCTCGAGCAATGTTCAATTTGCTTTTTTTTCCATCAAGTTCTTCGCCACTTGTTTCACATCGCCACCCGTAATTTACGCGTACTGCATTGGCATGTATGGGGCTAGATTTCCCGACACAACAGCAGAATACGCCGTTCCTCTGCTCGAAGACGTTGTGGCTCAGCTATGCTGGTCAGTGCTTGCCAATCTTCTGGCTTGAATCAGTGCTTAGTTGCAGTGTTACTCCACTCCTTTTGCAAGACTTTTTTCCCTTGTCTATGGCATCATTCATATCTTTGTACTTTGATACTTTTAGTGCTGGTCAAGCTGGACACGGTCATGTCAGTGCTGTACAATGGTCGTGCATGGTCGTGACACGTACCCGGACTTGGTTGCAGGCCAACAAAGACTTTTGGAAGCGTCTGGTAAGATCCCAAACGTGCACATGTTTCGAATGCTTGTCCTCAAATTCACATTGTTGTGGTCTTACATCACTGGTTCTAGGTGGTGGTGCAAGCTTGTTTGCTGACCAAAGTTCGCGCCAGCCCCAACCGCTTTCAGCGTCTGGCGGACCGCCGCTTCAGCCTTGCCTGTGCTGCCAATACGCACTTGATGGCTGATTATCTCAATGTTTTGCAATCCGAGGATAACGTGCGTTGCCCAAAAAAAAAAAAAAATACTGCCGCCTCTCCTTTGCCTTTGGATCATATTTTGTTCCTCAATCTTTCTCCTGCGCGATACACTCCACGCAGGCCATGTTGGCTGGCTTGGCCAGCACTCTGGTTTCGCAAGTTCTTGTGCCAGGGAAGCAGGAACAGCTTCTCAACGCAAATCGAGTGCGTACACGGCAAAGCGCCTTGATCCCCCCAACATAGATTCTGAAGCTTCTTTTGCGGTCGCCCGTTCATCTCATCTCTTTTGCAATTTGATAAGACTCTGCTCGCAGAGTTTTTTGACCGTGCCATCCTCTCGAGCAAGGCTAACATCTCCGAAGAATGCTTGGTTTGTACCTCGCGATCTTGTCGATACATTTCTCGTCCTCGTAACGTTAAGATATCGGTCGCAGCATAGCTCAACTCATGACTCGCATCGTATCTTGCAGGTGGCTTGCGCTGGTCTGCTCTCCGTTGTATCTGCTGAGGACTTTGGAAGCATTCTTTTGCCGTCTGCTGATCGACAGTTGAAGCGCAGTGCAGAATCTGCAGCTCCGCGTACGTTGGTTGTACTCGTAGTCTTGTCCATCCATGCTGGAGCATGCCTCACTTCAAATGGTGCTTACTTCCACGCTGCTGATTTTCCAGGCGTGGCATGCCTGATCTCTTCGGCCACCTTTGATCTCAGTGCATTTGCTGTCCAGACAGTCGACATGTTACTGCCACACGTGCTCAGCAGCAAGAGCCACGTTGCTCAGGCTGCGCTTGCAGGCATTCGTGGTATGTTTCTGCTGCGAGCGAGTCCTTCTTCTCTTCTTGGCTCTGGCCTTGGAGTTTGAATTTTGGAGTTGAGCGTTTTGATTGATTTTGACTCATTCTTGACTGTCCTCTATCGCAGCCGCTCTGGCTGGATGCACCCAGCCTAGTGGCTTGATCACCGCTTTAGAACATGTGATGGACCGCGTCCAGGGCAAGACCGGGGGAAAGGTGCGAGTGCCGTTTGAATCAATCATGCATCGTCGCTCGAGACATCCCAGCCCGACGTCCCGTTTCAACCGCTCGAGACGTACATATAGTCGCAAGTCTTGTTTCGAATTTAACCATCTGTGCATTTGCCCAGATTGCATTGTCGGAGCAGCGTGGCTTGTTCTACTCCATTCTCTCCAGTGCCGGAGACGCGCAGCTGGCCAGTACGTGCGCTCGCCTTTTTCTCACCCCAAAAATTGCTAGCTCATGTCTTGCCATGACGGGCCAAGAAATGCACGTTTCTTCGTTGTCTTACCTTTTGCCTTTCGTTCTTACTAATGCTGGACCTTGCCTTACGGATACAATGTTCAGATGCCGGTCGGGATCGCTTGGCGTCTTGGGCCGTTGAGCACCTGCTTCCGGTGCTGGACAAGGAAACACACTTGGAGACACGCTTGGCAAGCTATGCCAGCGTTCACCACATTTTTCATCAAGCCAAAACAACCACTCCGGCGCTGTTGGCATGGATCAAGGCGTGTTCCAGCCACCAGAACGATACACGGTTCATTCTTTTGTGTGCTTTCACGCCAATTAGCTTTGCTCATTTTGATTTGGTCCCATGCTTGATGCTTGGTACAGAGCCACTTGACGGCCGCCAAGAGCACGGCCCCGGTGCGGGCACAAGCATTGTTGGTTGCAGAGCGGGCCTACTCGATTGACGACCTGAACGTGTTGCAAGAGCTCATTCCTTTGCTTGAAAAGGTTTTGAGCCAAGCGCCCAAACAAGTGAGTCTTGCGAGCTTCATGCCATCTATAATCATCTTGGCAAAGAGTTGAACGCAATCCACATGCCTTGCTCGCTGCTTTCAAGTCTCTGATGTCATTCTCTTGCATCCGTGCTTTGTCATGTATTCGCTGCAGAAAACATCTACCGATGGCCAAGCAGAAGTTGCCTTGGCAGCCTTGCTTGTTCTGCGACTAGCCGAGGTCCAGCCTGAGTTGGGTACGTGCCTCTTTGTCGCTTGCTTGTGCACACGTGCCCCATGTGGATTGCCCTGACTCAGTGTTTGACATGGTCATGTGCGCGTGTGGACTGCAGAGCAAGCTCTCTTGAGTGGCGACCATCCTTGGTCCAAGTTGGAGCATGGCCAGGTTTTCAATGAGCGTTTGCTTAGCACACTGACCCCTCCAGGCGAGTGCTTGTTTCATTCCTCTCCTTCCCCGGCTCTATGACCCGTATCAGACTGCCCCCATGGCTTCTTGCCTCATGACATCTGTGTTGGTGCAGTGAGCCAAGCGTTTTTAACGTTGTGTCTCAAGGCCATGACGCTGCACAGTCGTCGGGACGATAGCGGGGCACTTGCCAGCTGGTCACAACACGTCATTGCTTTGACGCTTCACGAAGATTGGAGCGTGCGAAAGTTGGCGGTTACTCAAGTGGCTCATTTCATGATGGGCACATCTTCTGGCGTTCAAGCGGCACTGCTGAATGCCTTTGAAGAGAGGGTTCACGCTCAGTACGCCGCTGACGTGGCGACTAAATCCAACGGTGAGTTTCGAGGTTTTCTCATTTCGCTGCTGCATGCGCGTGTGTCTAATCTTGCTCTGCGTTTGCAGGCGTGGAGGTGGTGCACATGTTCACTTCACACACTGATCACTTGTACCAAGCACTACTTGCCTTGGCCACGCGCCCAGATGTCTTTGGTCAGCCTCTGCCCTTTTTTTTTCCTTCACATCGCACACTTGACTTCAATGCAGCTGGCAGCCACCAACGTGCTTCATAATGGACGGGGTTTGCTCATTGCTTTGTACTACTTCTTAGACGACGCGGCAGCAATTTCTGCAATTATCCAGCTGGCGCCGCTCGCTTGCCATCCGCTGATTGGTTTGTTTTGTGCCCTGCTTTTGCTTGCTTCTGGCATACTATCTTTTTTCACTCGCACACATCTTAAATGTTTTGGGTGCTCATGTTGGCTCAAATATGCACTATGGCGATCCGTCTCGATCCTCCGCCTCGACCTCGCCCCTACCATCAATGCCCTACAGTGCGTTACAAATCGATTGAGCTGGATCTGGTCCTCCGCAAGTTTGGCTTCAACCCCGAGAGCTTCATTTCAGAGCATTCTGCGGCCGTCCTGAAGTGCTTGCTGGAGCTTTCGCGAAGCGCCATCGCAACAGACGTATGTTATTTTATCGTATCATCGTTTCCGTGAAGCTTGAAATTACCCTTGCTCGCATCTTGCAGCCAATTTGTGGCAGGAAAAAATCAAAAACAAAAACACCCCGACTCATGAAGTTTGCCTTGGCTATTCAATTGCTTGCCGACAGTCCGAGGAGCTTAGTTTGTGCACTTGTAACTTGCTAGCAAAGCTTAGCCACTTGCCAGGGTTTACGGTCATTGGCGACGAAATTGCGAAGCAATATCTCAAGTCAGTTCTCGTGCTTCACACGCACCTGGTTGGCGCACTGCGACTGACCACATACTCGACTTCTGCTTTTTTTTTTTTTTTTTTTTTTTTGTGACCAGTGAGTTTCGTAAGCCGCAGCTTCTGGGCATCTCGGCTTCTGATCTCGGCGTGTACAAGACGCCCGAAGGGGAATTGTATGATACTTCTTTCTTGCCCAAGCAGCAACAAGAAGAGCTTCGCAAGAATGATGCCGACTACGCTGACAAGCTTTGGGAACTTGAGGTGCGCAAGGAGCTGGCTCGCAAGCGAGGACAGAAGTTGGAGGCACCCAAGCGTCAAGTCAAGCTGACCAAGCAACAGCAAGAACGTGCTGACAGCACACTTGCCAAGGAGGCAGAGCTTCGTGCCAAGATCACATCCGTCGACGAAGAAGGTATGTTGGCAAATAATATGACCAATCTCATGCCTGTTGTAGGGTGCAGTGCTGTTGATTCGAAGCTTATGATTATCACTGGGGTAGTATCGGTGGCGATCCTGTTGTTGGATGGCATCCTTGCTGGTAAGAAAGAGGTGGCACAATCACACGTGCCTCGGCTGGTACCAGCGCTCGTGCGCATGGCGCGCATGTCCCACTTGGTCGCGGCACGCGCAACACAGCGCCTGCTTCGTGTGGCGGCGTTGTTGCAGCCAACTCTACCGATTGCACTTGGCGAGGTTGGTCGAGCTTGCTGGGCCGTAACCTCCACCTGGGTTCGCGCCTTTGCTCAGATGCTCTTTTGCTGTTTCATAACCTATTTCTTTGTGGTATTCCTTTTGAATCACGTGTGGGTTTAGGCGGTGGCTCGTGCGACAGCTCGCTCCATCCAAGTCGTGGCTACTCTTCCCTCAACCTGGGAGGAAGAGCCTTTGTTGGACATGATGGCACGCGTCACCCGCGAGCTTTGGACACGGGCTCATGAGCATCAGCCCTTTGATGCAACTGTCATGAGTTTTTGCTTGCCTCTCATCAATCAAGTCTTGACCACGGAGGACGAGATCAAGGTGTGTCATGCCTGTGCCTTCTCATCGCCAGTGAGCGTAGCTTCTGCTTGACTATCGTGGCAACCATGGTGACTGCTGTAGGTTTCAGCGCGTGAGGATGCTCTGGTGTTTTTGAGCGACCATAGTCACCTGGGGGCCGAAGCCATCATGCCCCGTTTGAAGGTCCGCAATCAGGATTTGAATCATGGTTCCGCATTCGAAGAAAGCCAACTCCTCCCGTAGCCATCGCCATTGGCTCACACGTGCTGCACACCGGTCTCTTGCGTGCATCGACACAGCTTTTGATGCTTTTGGTGCAAGTCATGCAGACGCACTCACGCGTGGCACACCAAGCAGGTGTGGTGATGATGGAATTTGTTCGTCACATGGGAGCCAACGCTGATACCGTGCCAGTGAAAGACAACGAAGTTCAAGTTCTTCTCGATGGTTACCTGGCCGAATCAGTTGCGCAACGGTCCGTGCCTTGACTTGGGATGCTCTCAATGCCGAGCACAAGAATGCACGTTCGTGCAGGTTACTTTTCGCTTGTCTTCACATTGTTGTCGAATTTGATGCAGCACGGCATGCCTGGAGGCGTTGCAGTACGTGGATATCACAATGACGGATGATTCTGCGGCAGCTTTATGGATCGCTTGCCATGATCCGGATGAGGTTTGTCTTCACGAGAAGGGTCCATGGAGGCTTGATGCAGCTCAGCCAGTTGTTTTTGTTCTTTTTACTTGGTGTCTGATATCGCAATGCCATTGATTGCTTGTTTTCCATGGTTCAAAACACGCTCAATCGCAGGATGTGGCGCAACTTGGAATGAAGTTGTGGAAGGAGCGCCATTTTTTGTTGCCGGCTGATGCGTGCAACCGCATGATGCGTCCTTTGGTTTCGGAACACGATGCCATTCGGACGGGCGCCGCCAACGCTTTGCAAGCTGCTTTGCTGGTGCATCCCGAGGTTGTCGACAACGTCATCACGGACCTCCTGAGCGAGTATGTATCGTCATACAAGCCCGACTCCAGCCGTTTGCACCGGTCAAGCCATTTGAAATGAAGAAAAGCGAACATGCAGCACTTCATTTCTCTGACCCGCGCGTTTCCTTTTTTTTCTCGTCTTTGATTTGACCGCGTTTATAGATACCAGCGCCTGCTCGTGATTCCCGAGCCCGTGCGCGACAAGATTGGCAACATCATATCACCACCTTTTGAGGATCCCTGGCCTTCGCGATGCGGTGTCGCCAAAGTATGTAACGCTACGATGGACCCAAACTGAAACCCTTGCGATCATGTCAACCGTGCATTCGCTCGACGTCATTCTCCATTGCCTTCTACTCAGGGTCTCTCGGCTTGCACGGAGCATTTGACCAAGGAGCAAATTGTGCGCATATTCCGCTTTTTCACCGAAGAGGCGCTGGGTGACCGCAGCAACGAGGCTCAGGGTGCCATTTTGAACGCCGGTATTGCCATTATCAACGCACGTGGCAAGGAGTACTTGACAGATTTGTATGAAATCTTTGACAGCAACATGGCCCAAGCCAGCAAGAGCATTCACGAAGATCGCATGCGCCAGGGTGTCATTGTGATGCTTGGTGCTTTGGGTGGTCATTTGGATAAGGGAGATGAACGTGTGCCACAAATTGTGCGCACACTGGTTCAGGCGCTGGGCACACCGTCTGAGGCCGTGCAGTCCTCGGTGGCCAAGTGCCTGCAACCCTTAGTCAAGGCCAATAAGGATTGCGGTTGGTGCCATTGGCTATCGTAGACCCATACCGGCTCATGCCGAGACGGAACAATTAGGGGGGGGGGGGGGGGCTGCCTAGTTTATATTCACATTGACCTCCTTTTGCTTTGGTCTTGGATTTTGTGCAGCCCCTGAAGTTATTCCGCGCCTGTTGGAGTCAGCCTTCGGCAATGGCGACTATGGCCAGCGGCGTGGTGCAGCATATGGCCTTGGCGGTGTTGTTGCTGGTGCCGGTGTCATCGCTTTCAAGCGTCAAGGCGTTTTTGAGGCCGTGGTCGAGAACATTGAGCACAAGGTATGGTTCTCTCTACACGGCACTTGCATCTACGCGATGTCTTACCGAGTGTGCGGCAAAATGTGTACGCATTGCAGGATGCCAAGAAGCGGGAATCCGCGCTTATGGTGATTGAAATGATGAGCCAATTCATGGGTCGCGTCTTTGAACCCAACCTTAAGGAGCTGGTGCCGCATATGCTGGTGTGTAGCGAGTCTTGGGGCACGATCTTCCTCCCGTCACCCCCTTTTTTTTTGTCTTCCTTTCCTCCCCGTTGTTCCCGGCATATCTTCACCACGTATGCCTGCGGCGTGCTGCCATCCGTTGATGCGTTCAGGTGTGCTTTGGTGACGCAAAGAAGGATGTCCGTGCCGCTGCACAGGAGGCCGCCCGAGTCATGATGAGCCACATGAGCGGTAAGAGTTTCAACAATGTTCCTTGATGATCTTTTTGCTGCTGTGGCTGTGGCTGAGCATTAATGACTGACGATTCTGCTATTGAAATACTACTGGGCATGACGCTTCATCTCAAACTTGTCACCGTTAGACCAAGGCGTCAAGACAGTTTTGCCGTTTCTGCTCGAAGCACTGGACGACGAGAGCTGGCGCACCAAGCAGGGTAGCGCGCAACTTCTCGGTGCCATGGCATTCTGTGCACCCAAGCAATTGTCCATTAGCCTGCCCAAGATTGTGCCACGCCTCGGCGAAACACTGACTGATTCGCACGTCAAGGTGGGTTGTCAGGGCCCTTTTGGCATCGTGAAAATGAGAGGCTCCACTGGTTTTGAGAACCGTCAAGTTGAACTTGGCTGCTTTGCATGTTAGGTGCAAGCCGCTGGCAAGGCAGCACTCAAGAGCATCGGCAGCGTTATCAAGAACCCTGAAATTCAAGCCATTGTGCCAACCATTCTCAAGGTCGGATGCAACTTTTGTGTGTCTGTGTCTGTGTCTGTGTCTGTGTCTGTGTCTGTGTCTGTGTCTGCTGACGCTTGGCTTTCTTGGTTGCTTGCAATTGGCTTGTGGTATTTGATTTGGCGTGCTGTTTGTCTGCACGATTCAAAGGCTTTGAACGACCCTGTCACAAACACGAACAAGTGCTTGTCCAAGCTTCTGAATACAAGCTTCATTCACGTCATTGATGCGCCATCGTTGTCGCTGATCATGCCAATCGTCGAGGTACTAGCATCGAACTGCTGGCCGACCAGAGATTTGATCCTGGACCCGCGTGCCCATGTTCTGGTGATTTGAGTGCTGTTCATCTCCTTTGACCTGTTGGGCTCGTAGCGTGCTCTCAAAGAGCGCAAGACAGATGGCAAAAAGAAGGCCAGCCAAATTATTGGCAATCTGTATGCCTTAACGCTACCTAAGGATTTGGTTCCATATCTACCAAAGGTAGGCATCCCCTCTTTCCCCTTCTTCTCTTCAAGCACTGGGACGCACACACAACACACACCTCACTGACCGATGCCATCAGGTCATGCCGGGCCTGCAAGCCGCACTCGTGGATCCGCTGCCCGAAGTCCGTGGCGTTTGTGCCAAGGCTATCGGTGCCATGGTTAAGGGCATGGGTGAAGAGCACTTTACAGATCTCCTGCCTTGGCTCTTGGAAACCCTCTCCAGCAACCAGGGCACCGTCGATCGCTCTGGAGCCGCCCAGGTCAGTTGGGGACCAAGGGAGTGTATAGGGCCGCGCGTTTTTACCTGGTGATCTTCTTTCCTCTTTTCTGCATCCTATGCGCGCCGCTAATGCTCTGTCTACTGTTTCACTCTTTTTTGGGGGTTGGTGCGTAGGGTCTTGCGGAAGTGCTTTTTGCTTTGGGAGTGGACCGCCTGGATGCCATGATGCCTTCTTTCATGGAGAATACGCGTCATGCTCAGGTCATTAGTTGTTGGATCGGTTTACCTGCCTCTTTGAGGTAGCATTGTCACATTCCTCACGTTTTTTTTTTTTTTCTTGCTCATTTTTTAATAGGCCGAGGTGCGCGAGGGTCATATGATGCTTATGATCTATCTACCGGCAACTTTCGGGCAAGACTTCAAGCATCACGTGGCAGATGTTATTCCTTGTGTTCTGCGTGGCCTGTCCGATGTGGAGGAAGGAGTGCGAGATGCGTCCATGCGTGCAGGTCAGCGCATCATCAAGAACTACTCTGATGCATGCATTGAGCTGCTGTTGCCCCAGCTATTGGGTAGCCTGCTGGACGAAAACTGGCGCATCCGCCAATCTTCCCTGCTGCTGTTGGGCGATCTGCTCTATCTTCTTTCGGGCACGTCGGGTAAAAAGTCCACGGCTAGTGCCTCAGATGACGAAGGCTTTGGTACCGAGGCTTCGACCGCGCGCCTAACCAAGTCTCTTGGCCACGAGCTGCGCAATGAGGTTCTGGCTGCCGTCTACATGTGTCGCCAGGATGTGCAGTTGGTGGTTCGCCAGGTTGCCGTACACGTGTGGAAGGTCATTGTGCCGCACACGGTGCGGACGTTGCGCGATATCCTCTCCGAACTCATCACGCGCATTCTGAGCAACTTGGCGGATGATCTCGAGGATCGCCGTTCTGTGGCAGCCAAGACGTTGGGTGAGCTGGTCCGCAAGCTCGGTGAGCGGGTTCTGCCTGATGTTTTCCCGCTTTTGGAAGCAGCAGCTGCCTCGGACGATCTCAACAAGCGTCGCGGTGCTTGCTACGGGTTTGGCAACATCATGACGGTCCTCAGCGACGAGCAGATTGAAAAGTACAGCGAAATCTTGCTCACAGCTGTGCGTAATGCGCTGGGTGACAGCGATGCCGACATTCGTGCAGCTGCAGCTGAAAGCTTTGCTAGTTTGCACACATCCTTGGGCAACCAGGTCATCGAAGACATTTTACCAGTTTTGCTGAACCAGCTTTCTGGCAGCAACAGTGCCGACGATGCGCTTGATGGTCTACGTCGAGCGATGGCGACTCGTTCGAAGGTGGTTTTGCCCTTTTTGGTGCCCCGCCTTCTCGAACCGCCGATCACGGCCTTCAACGCCAAGGCATTGGCACAACTCACAACGGTGGCTGGACACGCACTCAACTACCAACTGTCTCTTATCCTGACGACTCTCATGGCCGCTTCGGTCAAGGCGGAGGGTGCTGAGAAGTCTGCCATTCGAGATGCGGCCAGCATCGTGGCTAGCTCTGTTGACGAACTGGGTGTACGCGATCTTCTGCAGGACATGGGCGAGGCTTTGCGACAGGGCGATCAGTCTCGCATCTCTGCAGCTAATGTTTTGGCAGACTTTTGTGAGAAGAGTCAACTTGACGTGGCACAGGAAGCCGATGACCTTTTGCGTGTGATGATCCCGGCCTTTGGTGATGGCCACCCAGAGGTTGTGCACGCGGCATGGCGTGGTCTTGATGCCTTACTGAAGCGCCTGCTGCCCATCAAGGAGCGCCACGAAGAGTTCTTGACTCTTGTGCTCTATCAGTTGCAACAGCTGCCTCACAACGAGCGTGGGTTTGTTTCGGGTCTGAGCATTCCAAAGGGGCCTGGTCCGTTCATGCCCTTGCTGACGGCTAATCTGACGGAGGGCCGCGGCAGCGCTCAGGAGCAGGCAGCAGCAGCCTTCGGTCTTATCTTGGAGGCCTCGGATCCATCTGTGCTCAAGCCTTACGTTGCGACCATCGCCGGTCCTATTCTGCGCATTTTCTCAACCAACGCAGTGCGCCTCAAGATTGAACTGCTCCGCACGTCGCTGACCATGATGAAGGCGCTTGGTGCCGGTGTCAAGACGTTTTTGCCGCAGTTTCAGCCAGTGAGTGTCAAGTGTCTCAAGGACAGTTCGAGC